AAAACAACTAAAATTTGCTTATTTTTATACTTATAGTCATAACTTTTTCACAGTGGGGACTCCTATTTATGAATGTTGTGGGATAGCAGTGTGGATAAAGCTTAGGTTCAGGGGTGGAGCTTTCAGAATCAGGGATAAGGTCAGGCAAGGCTGCGGCAGGCAGCCTGGCCCACTGGGATTTGGCATTCTAAGGAAAGTTTCAGGGTTTGGTGCTTTAAGGAATTTAGTGACCTTCAGTATTCATGGAGATTTCTAATTTTTTTCTTTTTATGTACTTTTAATGATCATCATATTTTAGCATGCATACATAATAACATCTAAAATTAATATCTTTATTCCCTTCTAGAACACTCAAGGAACTTAGAATGCATTAGCTTCATTTTCCCAATTTATGTGCTATTGTAGTATTCTAGTTTATACTTTAACTGCACAAATTAGAAACTTTTTACTATTTTATGTGATCACTGTATATTGATGTTCCATTATATTTACCAATATTTTTGCTTATCATTCCTTCTTGTGTTAAGGAAGTTCCACGTGAGGCAGCTTTCTTCTCTGTGTTAAGTACATTTCTTTAAAGTTTTCCTGTAGCTGAAGAGTTTCTTTCAGTTCTTGTTTGCCTGAGGGTGTCTTTGTTGCTTTCTTAGGGTTTAGCATATTACGTTTATGGTTATTTTCTTTTAGCATATTCAAGATAGAAAGCTTAGCTGTATTGCATAGTCTTCTAGCTCCCATTGTTTCTATTTTGAAGTTGGCTGTCAGTCTAATTGCTGTTCCTCTGTAGGAGATCATTTTTCCTTGGGCCTTTGGGATTGTATAATTGTACTAGTGTGTCTAGGGATAGATTTCTATTTTTACTTGAGATTTGTTAGGTTTCCTGGGTGTGTAGTTTTGAGTCTTTCAACAACTCTAGAAAATTCTCAATTTGTATCTCTTTATATATTACCTCTTCCCCATACTCTTTATTATCTCCTGGATATCTGATTAAATGTATATTAGATTTTCTAATTATATCTGCCCTGTCTTTTTGTTTGTGTTT